GAGACCTGCCTTGGGCAGCCCAGCACAGGCCCAAGGCGCAACCGTCGTCCCTAAGGCTTCCTGTAAACTTGTTTTGTTGTCAAATAAAAGGCAGAGCTGCTTCATTAATTGCTCTGGCTAATTACATCTTCCCGAATTCATGCAGTGCTTACTGCTCACACCATGTTGACAATGCATCTGTTGCCCCCTTGTTCTGAAAGCCCTACTAAATTGCACGTGCTCCTTCTGCAATGTCATTTCTAAAGGCAGGCAGTATATTTACTTAAATTCTTCTATTTATTTAAATTCTTTTGAGTAAGCCAGCATTGTAAAAAGAAAAAAAAAAATCAGAAAAAGAGTTGAGAGTGCCCATCTGCTTTTGCATCACTTTATTTTTTAGATAATGTAAATAGTATTGAAACAGTATTTCGATTTCACTTTAGTAAATGGAAGCACAGTGGCTTTTAATAGCTTAAGGGCTTGTTCTGTTCCTCACTCTGCTACCAGTTTGATTTGTGACTTTGGGCAAGTCATAACCAGTCAGGTTTCAAAAAAAAGGTCTCCAGTTTAGGTGGCCTGATTTCAGGCATTTGGGGCTTGCTTTTGGTGATCTTCCAGACATTCACAGCCCCTGTGAGTTTCAGTGCAAGGAGTAGGTGCTGCAAGTCAGGCTGAAGGTATCTGACTCTAAGCCATTCAAGCCTTTAAAGTTGACCTTGACACTGTGGAGCTTATTTTCTAGTGCATATGAGTATTTTGAATGAACATATGATTGAGGAGGTGTTTTGAGAGCCTTACATGAGCGGTATAAATGTATGAGTTGTAATTTTTATTATGCATTTGTATATTACTATAATGAATAGTAAGCTGTTTACTTGCTCTGGTGAAAAAGACAATGTTAAATCAGAAGAAATCAGCTCTTATGTGATGGAAGGGAGGATGACAGTTTTGAACTGAGGCAGCTTGAGTCCTGTTACAGCTCTGCTGCAGGACTATCCCTGCAGGTCACTTCATTCACATCACAGCGTTTGGAATTCTGCTGAGGCACTTTGAGTCAAGTGCCTGGTTGCCCAGAGATGGTTCGTCTGAGAGACAGGCCAGCCTGCCTAAGACAAGCCAGTCCGCCAACCACTGATCTTTGTGGACTGAAGAAAAGTCTCAGGGGGACTTGTCCCCCTGCTTGAGTGACTCAGCTATCTAGGGGGAATGTGTTGAAAACAGCCCATGAGTGATGAAGATGCTGAAATACTATTGCTTCTGGCTTGAATTGGAGATACTCACTGTCAGAGAAAGTCAGGGCAGAAGCATCTCAGCTTGTGTTCCTCGTCTGTAAAACAAAGCTTACCTTTTTCAGCCCTAACTTGGCATACGGGCCATAATCTTAATATTGGAAATTAATTCAGCTTTTATTAGACATGCGGCCCTAGAATCAATTATGGTTTCATTAAATTTATTTTCGCTGCAGGCTTTTAAAATATATCAGAATTAACAAGTGAGGAAAAGAGAATGAAAAAAAAAATCAGTTATGGAGAAAAAATTATTATTTAGCAGCTGAGCTGCCTATATCTGTACCTGGCAAGTTTTATTTCTGCTCTTCAGTGTTCATGAAAACAAGCAAACAAAAATTAGCTTTGAACTCACAAGTTAAATAAAGCAGATGTCCTCAAAAAACCTTGCTCTCTTACTGAGTATTTCTGCTTAGGGAAGCCTCCATATAGCACAGCAAATTCAACTGTTGTCATTCCCATCTGAGGAGAGGCTGTGAATAGCAGCACCGCGTGGTCCAGGATATTAGATTTGGGTGAACTGGCAGAAAGTATGGGATGGCTTGGAAACACCTGTGCGCACTCATCAGTGCACTCAGTCACACTTCAGCAGCTCTGAAATAACTCCCATTGTTTTAAAGCAGAAGGCACAGTATTTTGACTAACGAGGTTCACCCAAGCATTTGACTTTTCTGATACAAGGAGATAGTCAAGGAGCGTGTTTGCTTTCAGTGCATTGGCACTTGAGTCTGTGAGTTGGGACTCTCACAGTGTCTCTGCATAGTGTATCTGTACAGATAGCCTGCTATTCACGCCTTCAGAACGATAGCCATGCTCAAAATGTGATCATGGAACAAGGAACCGAAAGATTAATCTTCAATAAATCCCAGTTGGTTGTATGAAATAAGGACGTAGTTATATTATTAGTTTGTATTGTAACAGAAAAGTAACGTTTTCAGTTTAACATGCATCAACACTGGGATATTTCTTTCACTGTCCAACAAGGTGAAGATGGCTTTTTCACTTGGCTCACCATGTTTTCCTATGTAGATGTTCGACTATGGTAGAATATTGCAGTAGATATCTTTGTCTTCAGAAAGATGAGAAGATGAGAGTTGTTGTACTGAGAGCATGATATTAGCAGATACCAAGACAAAAGGAACAAAGAGCACATCATGTTTACCTAGCCAGACAGAAGCCAAATTACCCCCAGGACAGGAGGTGGTAATAAAATCCATTCTTCACCTCCCCTTTTTATTCCCCAATTCCACCTTCCCCTGCTACAGTTCTGAAGTACTGCATACTTGGGAGTATAACCACTTAAATTTAAATAAGATAAGCAAAAAGCATGGTGTCACTGTGTTCAAATAGTTGTTGCCTAATCTTGTTGGTGGCAAATAGAGTAAGCCAAGCCATGGAATTGTACCTCTGGAACTGAGAAGGCTGATGTTGGTTTAGCATTTGCGATGATTCGAAAGTCACATTATCTAAGAACTGTCAGATTGAAGCTGCCAAACAGCCGTACCCTCTGGCTGCACGACAGAACAGCTGAATGTCAATCAAGCACTTCTGCTGGGTAAACTGGTGGATCTTTCTAATATTAGCTGCCTGCTGAAGTGGTTAGTTGAAAGATGCAGATGTATCATCAGTGCACTCACTCTTCCCAGACATCTTCCTGTTCCCGTGTCTCTGTTTCATGCACATGTTAGGTGATGTAGGCAGCAAGCTGAGGGTCTGCCTGCTATGCCGTTTGACTAGCTTTTGTGGAGCTGGCAGTGTCATTACATTTATAATTTATGTAAAATTCTTGCTCTCTGTGTCATTTTAGCTTCATACTGGGGAGTGGGAGCTACGTCCGTGAGAAAAGAAGAGGGCTTGACTTGCCGTTCTGTATTTTCGTCCTTTTCTTTAACGGAACAGGCAAAAGGGAACAGGCATATACCTGCCAGTGTTGTATAAAGTAGGGTAGGTACCCTGCTGACTCAGTATCCCACCAGAAAACTGTTGCTGTTGTCTCTTTAGAAATGATGTCACAAAATTTCAGAGGTCAAAATGCTCTGGTTGACTTTTGGTGGTGGGAACAGCTGGCGAAATGCTGCAGGGCCAATGCTACTGACGTGTTTTTGCAGAGCACCACATGAGGGGTCATGCAGTAGCAGATCTGTGGTGGAATGACATGCTGCCTCTCAGCGAGTCTTTGTGCAAATACTGGGTTTGACTCTGGTCTCACCTTCACTGGAGTGAAGTTTGAACTGAAGAGAACAAATCTGGTGTTAAATTAAAGGAAGAAAAGCCAGAATCAAGACTTCACCTTTTCCAAAGCTATGGAAATTGATTTTTGTGATTTTAATTTTTTTTCCAGTTCTGTTCTGAATTGCATTGTTGTGGATTTTCTTATCTCTTCCTACCTGTAGCATGAAGTATTAGCAGTCTTTTTCCTCCTGAGAGAAATGTATGAAATGCGTTTAGTGTTCCCAAACATTTGCAATGCAATGAACTTTTCTCTGCCAATCTTCAAAACTTCAAACTTCAGCATCCTTTGTCAACCCCGGGACGCTTTTAACTTAAGAAAGGTCAGCAGATGTTGCCATGGATTTTTTTTACTTCACAAGCTGAGGAAGAATTAAATTTGGCAACTGTAGCTGAGATTCTCAGTGATTTACAGTATTAACTGGACAGTGAAGTTTATTCTGTAGAATTAACAAGTCCATAGGGACTGAGTTAATTGCTGTTTTTCAGTGCAATAACCCAGTGTGATCCCTCTTCAGTTCTGCATTATGGTACATGTGAGTCCTGGCACTAATCAGTATTATCTTTTCATCTGACATTTGGAGCTTTTTTAGTGGTTATTTGTCTGGAATGCTAACATTTGTTGACACTAATTTATAATGAAATTATTATTTAAAAAGGGAAGAACAGTCTGGTTACCTACATCTCTATGCTCCTGATTTTTTTTTCCATTTGCACCTATGAAAAATAAAAAAGTTATGTGTTAAGGCTCATCAGAAGGTAACCGATGTTTCTGATAAACCTCAAGTACCATTGTAACTTGGGAGAGATTCATTATTGTGTGTTTCTGTTTATGGCAGAATGCAAAGTCTGGCGAAATCCTTTAAATCTGTTCAGAGGAGCCGAATATAATCGGTAAGTGCTACGATGTTGCAGTTTCAGGCATAGTACTGGCTTAAGGATCTTAACATTAATCTAACTCAGAGATGGAAAACCAAAACCAACTGTGGACACATGTGCTCATGCCAGGTTTTTCTGTCATTTGTAAAAACGTTTCTGAATGAAGAGGAATTTAAATTCATGCTCATGCACTTGTTATTTCTGCAATATTTGGTATCCTTATAAAAAAGTGGAAAAACCAAAAGTGCAGTGTACCTGGTACTGTTAATACAGTAATTCTGTTCAGTTATAGTAAACAACCTGATGAATTATATCCGGGTTTCATGTAGTCTCAACATTTGAATATGTGTTACCAGTTTCCAGTGTGTACTTTCCAACGTCTTCATTAGCTTAGGTTCAGCTACTGTTGCTCCATCACAGTACAGTGAAATGCAGTGTATGTTGGTTAGGAGATTGCCTGGAGGAGCTTAGTAGGCTCTGCCCATCTCTAACATCTAGGATTCTTTTCTAGATTCATTTTGCTGAATGTGACCTCATTAACCAAAATGTCTCTTTGTTCGCATATTTGCAGCTATACGTGGGTAACAGGGAGAGAACCTTTGACTTACTACGATATGAATCTTTCAGCACAGGACCATCAGACGTTCTTTACATGTGACACGGATCATTTACGGCCTGCAGACGCTAGTAAGAGACCTTGTGAACAACCATTTTTGCTAATAGGTTAATGATTGTTTTATCTGATGCAAGAAGAATGCAATCAGACATCAGTTCTCTCAGGTAGATAAGGAAATGTGAAAGTTTGATTGTGCCTGGAAAGCTGTTGCTGTTGGATTTATAGTATTCTAGATCTAAGCAAGCATCTATATAGGCATAAACTACCTAATTTGTGTCACTGTTTTGTTCTGCTTTCTTGCTGAATTCATTCAAGGTGCCATTTGCAAGTGTAAAAGCTTATCTTTTCCTCCTGTTTCTTGCAGTGACTTCAAACGTGTGTAGCCTAAGTTGCCTCCAGCTGCAGTGTAGTATGTTGAGTTACATTAGCCAGGTCCCATTTAGTCTACACTGACAGAAGAGAGTGAGCTTATGTAGAAATGGAGTCCTGTATTTCGTTCCTTGATGTAGTTAGAAGCTCTTTAAAAAATGGGAACAACACATTTACAACTGAATCTAATGTAAGCAGCTTTCTTTGTATTAAGGCTTTACTGTTACGTCCACGTGCAGACTTCAGTTCTGCTAAAACTGTATGGCAGTGTTTTTGATGAGCAAAATTTGCTTCTGAAGAGACAAATCTCCCTTGCCTCTTGGAAAAGGAGGGATACTGACAGTTGGGTGCTCCATTCTGAGGGCATAATTACAAAGGGGAGCATACTGTGCTTTTTTGACATGTGATAAACATTTTCTGAGCTCAGATGGGCTAATTTTGAGGTGGTCTGATTAGACTGGGTGTTGTTTTGCATTTAATATCCACCTAAAGCAGCAGCACAGTAAGGAACTAGAATCCCAAATATCCTTTTATTCTTTCATGCCATGAGGAATCTACTCCCCCAAGAGGAAAACACTGCTTATCACCTCTGTATGTGACAGTGCAGATGGCGTGATCTCTCAGCCAGATTTTCGTGTGGAAAAAAGTTTAATTAAGTAAAAGAATAAAGCTGAGTATTTGGGACAAAAGCTCATGTTGATTATGTATCTTTTGAGTGATCACTGAGCTCTTTGAAGTGCTCTGGAGTGAGTCAGGCTGAGAGCAATAAATTCTGTTGTTATAATGCAGTAGATTCTCTGTGTTAACGCTGTAATGACTGATATGCCCCTGTTCTGCTCTTTTTATTGAATAGTAATGCAAAAAGCCTGGAGAGAGAGAAACCCCCAAGCCCGAATTTCTGCGGCACACGAAGCTTTGGAATTGAATGAGTGAGTGACAACAACATTAACATTTATTTCCTGTCGTTTAAAAATCCATTTGATGATAGCTTAAGGCAGGGGGTTTGCTACAGTAATTTTTAACCATGATTACAGGCCTGTCACAGGAAGGCCTACAATGGGAGGAAAAAAGCACAGCTGCATGTTGTGCTAACCACCCAGGAGATCCTTAGGGCAGTGGTAACAATGGGAGTCTTCCCACTGATGTCAGTGGGCTTTGGATCAGCATAGCAAAGTGTTAATTAAGTTGCCTCCTGATGAGCATATGAAATATGCATTTATGAGATGGAGAGTTCCCTTTTGGATTTCTCAGTCGTCCTGAACAGAGGCAAGAAAGAAGGGACTCATAAACACCTTCTGAAATATTCATTTCATAGTGTGAGAGAATATGATGTAATTTTGTGGGACTTTCGGTCTTTGAGTCTGTTAGTTATTTTCTCAATGAGAAGTGTAGTATTTTGAGATCCCACAATAAACTCAATGCTGTTATGCTTTACTGGCATGGCAAACTGTATAAACGTTGCCAAATTGCATAAAATGGAGAGAGTCCCTTAGGTTGCTGTCAGAGATAGATTACTGCATTCTAGAATTCCGTAAACTGGTATGTTACAGATTGTCCTTCACGTGGTTCATCAGAAGGAGAAAAAGAATTGTTTGTTCCCAGACAGCAGTTTAACTGAGGGAGCATGTAGCGTAAAAGGCTTTTGCAGAAGTGAGCTATAAGCCTGTCCTGTTCTACTCATGTATCACAGAATCACAGAATAGCTGAGGTTGGCAGGAACCTCTGGAGGTCATCTAGTTCAACCCCCCTGCTCAAGCAGGGTCACCTACAGCACGTTGCACAGGACCATGTCCAGGTGGCTTTTGAATATCTCTAAGGAAGGAGACTCCACAAACTCCCTGGACAACCTGTGCCAGTTCTCGGTCACCCTCACAGTAAAAACCTGTTTCCTGATGTTCGGACGGAGCCTCCTGTGTTTCAGTTTGTGCCCATTGCCTCTGGTCCTGTTGTTTGGCACCACTGAAGAGAGCCTGGCTCTGTCTTCTTTGTGCCCTCCCTTCAGATGTTTACAAACATTGATGAGATCTTTCCTGAGCCTTCTCCAGGTTAAACAGTCCCAGCTCTCTCAGCCTTTCCTCATATAAAAGAGTCTCCAGTTCCTTAACCATACGCTCTGGCTTTTACTGGACTCTCTCCAGTGTACCTGTGTCTCTCTTGTACCAGGGAGCTCAGAACCGGACAGAGCACTCCAGGTATGGCCTCCCCAGTGCTGAGTAGAGAGGAAGGATCACCTCCCTCGACCTGCTGGCCACACTCCTCCTAATGCAGCTCAGAATGCCATTTGCCACCTTTGCAGCAAGGACACATCACTGGCTCATGTTGAACTTGGTGTCCACCAGGAGCCCCAAGTCCTTTTCTGGCAAGCTGCTTTCCAGCTGGGTGGCCCGCAGCAAGTACTGGTGCCTGGAATCTTGTTTTCACCCAAACCTGTTGTTTCGTGTTCTGCAGCTGACAACTCTTTGTGAAACGCAATTAGAGGCAGCTGCAGCCTGATTCTGTTTCTGGATAGAGAAGAAGCTGACAGCAGTGTGCTTGTATTGGAAAGAAGTCAGCAGGCTACGTCCCACCTAACTCAGCTGCTAAAAACGTGGCCGTCGAGTTTAAAGTAGTTTCCTGGGCTCCCTCTGTAGTCAATGAGAGAGGCACCTCCATTCAGCGATTCACTCTGTTCATAGAGAGATGTTTAAACACACGAAATCAATGGCTGTGTGAAGATGCTCCTTAATGGAGGCAGAGCTAAATCAGACAGCTAAAAGCTGGATGAGATGGCTCCCGTCATGCATTTCAGCTTTCTGTGTATTCCTAAAGCTGTTTTCCTGGGGTTTGGGTTGTTTGTGTTGTTTTCTTTGGAGGGTGTTGGTTTTTAATCTCTACAGTTACGTTCATAATCTGTTCTTTGCATATGGGAAGTGTTACAGGTCTATTGATTCTTTTCATACTATTAGAGTAATGCAGACATTTTGTGTTAAAACAATAATGCATAAAACTAATCTTGGTTTCTAGAAGGAGTTTCAGTGATGTAAGCCCTGATTGCTTAGAGAGACAGTGCTGTTCTTTCTGGGGCAGTTGTCAGTAGGTTTACTCAAGTGGCCGAGTGATGCACTACCTACAAATGACAGTCATGATCTAGTTGCCAGAATATTTATTCATCAGAATAGTTCATCTGAAAGGTATATGGACAAAACTCCATTGCCTCTGTATTTGGTACATCCTTGCCAGTCTGCCTCTTGTTGTGTAGCTTTTACTTCATGCACCTTTCTCATGGTTTTTCCTCCGATATTTTTGCAGGTGTGCTACTGCCTATATTCTCTTGGCCGAAGAGGAAGCGACAACGATTGTAGAAGCAGAGAAGCTGTTCAAGCAAGCTCTTAAAGCTGGAGAGGGTTGTTACAGGCGCAGTCAGCAGTTGCAGCACCATGGTGCCCAGTATGAAGCCCAACACAGTAAGTTTCTTTGGAGAGAACAGCTATTTCTAAAGGGATAGAAGTTCTGAGGAGTTCTTTGGGTTTTGTTGTGATCTTTTTTCCCCTCAGAACTATGTACTCAGTATTTAACATTGGCTGGAATATTGCCCTACAGCCACACTGTTCTTTTTCAGTATATTTCATTTGATTCTGTTGCTGAGCTAGCAATGCTAAGATAACAGATGCACCTTTTCTTTGTGATGGCAGAAAACACGGTAAAATGTACTTAACAGAAAATAAAAGGTAGCAGAGCTGAAAGAGATCTGATATTCAGAAAATGCCGCTACTGGTTTAGGAATTTGCACTGAAGTGCCTTTAGCCATTTTGAAAACATGGGCTCGTGTTGTGAAAAGGCAGTAAGAAATGATGGAAGCAGAAGTGAAGTGATGCTTTGCCAGCTTTTTTCCATCAGCTGTGAGGGTAAATACACCACCTTATTCTTTGTAAAAGTTAATGAGACCCATTAACCAGTGTGACATTTGAAAAGTTAGTTGTATACATTAGAAAAGGTCACAGAAACATAAAAATGATGTACTCTAACTGAAAGTCTAGCTTTCTGTGTTTATATTTTTTTTTTTTTAATTTTTGGATAAGCAGATTTAGCTGCTGTAATGGTATTTATTAGATGTTTCTTAAACCTAAGAAAATACATAAGGGTTCATGCCAGTAAACAAACAAAAAGATAAATAAAGCAAACAGACTAGGTTATTTCTAGTCTATAGTGGCTACCTCGGGCAAAAATAGTACCAATTAATTACATAAGTACAAGCACTAACATACTTTGGGCATCCTTGGTTTTCTCAGGACCTGAATTCACAGCCTCTGGCTATCTCACATAATTGGAAGATTGCTGATAAAAATTGTACATAGTGAAATTGTCTGTGATCTTTGGTTTCAAAAGTGTATGCAAGTCTATACCTGAAAACCTGAGGTTTTATAAAGCTTGGGGATACTCTTTTAAACATTAGTTGGTTATGAAATGATATTTAGAATGATGTGCTTATTTTTGGAGAAAATAAAAAATATAGAGCAGCTGAGCCCTTGAAGCAATTTTCAGGCTCTAGCAGGCTTATGGTTGTCTGTGAAAGCTTAATTTGTACACTCAATCCATCCTAAGCGCAGCAAATGATAGCAATTCTGTGAAAAATGCCATTTTTCTAGTCTTACAATTAGTAAGACTAGTTAAACACTGTCACAATGCTTATGTCCCAGATAACCTGGTTAAGTTTGTGCAGGCAAATGTAAGTATGGTATTTTTGTAACCTGTATGTGCTAGGTGGCTACTGTCATCATAAATTTGACACCCTGAACCTTCAGTATTACAGCAGAGGAAGCAACCAGTTGAATCACAAAATTAAGTGCATTGCCACAGAGCAGAAGGGGTTGGCAAGTGTCTGCCAGCTCTGACTGTGGCTTCAGGAGAGGCTTCAGGAAGGGCTGGGTCGTTACACTTCTCTGTACCACCCAGCTTCCCCTTGAGAATGTCAGTGTACACCCACAGAAGTTAGAGAAATTGCAACCTCAGATGGAGCCTTGGTCACAGGAACTTCAAGTAGGATTCTCTTGATTATATGCTGGACTTCTGCATGGTTCACAAAAGTGGAGAGCTCAGCACTCTTTAGAGAGGAAGGACCGTGGACCATGGTGTTGCAGTTACTCCATGGTTCTGAGATGTCCGTCATTCCATTTCTGGTCCTTAAAGTTGATTTTGGGATAATCTGGTGAAGTTCCCACTGACTGGAAAAGGGGAAACATAGCCCCCATTTTTAAAAAGGGAAGAAAAGAAGACTCAGGGAACTACAGGCCAGTCAGTCTCACCTCTGTGCCCAGCAAGATCATGGAGCAGATCCTGCTGGCGACTATGCGAAGGCACATAGAAAATAAGGAGGTGATTGGTGACAGCCAACATGACTTCACTAAGGGCAAATCCTGCCTGACTAATCTGGTGGCCTTCTATGATGAGGTTACAGCATTGATGGATAGGAGAAGAGCAACTGACATCGTCTACCTGGACTTATCCAAAGCATTTGATACTGTCCCACATGACATGCTTGTCTCTAAACTGGAAAGATATGATTTTGATGGATGGACCACTCGGTGGATAAGGAATTGGCTGGATGGTCACACTTAAAGAGTTGTGGTCAACAGTTCAGTGTGCAAGTGGAGACCAGTGACGAGTGGTGTTTCTCAGGGGTCAGTACTGGGGCCACTGCTATTTAACATCATTGTTGGCAACATGGACAGTGGGATCGAGTGCACCCTCAGCAAGTTTGCAGATGACACCAAGTTGTGTGGTGTTGTGGACACGTTGGAGGGAAGGGATGCCATCCAGAGGGACCTTGACAGGCTGGAGAGGTGGGCCTGTGAGAACCTAATAAAGTTCAACAAGGCCAAGTGCAGGGTCCTGCATGTGGGTCGGGGCAATCCCAAGCACAAGTACAGGCTGGGCGGAGAATGGGTTGAGAGCAGCCCTGAGGAAGAGGACTTGGGAGTGCTGGTGGATGAGAAGCTCAACATGAGCCGGCAATGTGCGCTGGCAGCCCAAAAAGCCAACCGTATCCTGGGCTGCATCCAAAGAAGCGTGGCCAGCAGGTCGAGGGAGGTGATTCTTCCCCTCTACTCTGCTCTTGTGAGTTCCCACCTGGAATACTGCATTAAGCTCTGGAGTCCCCAGCACAAGAAGGACATGGAGCTTCTGGAGCGAGTCCAGAGGAGGGCCACGAAGATGATACAAGGGCTGGAGCACCTCTGTTATGAAGACAGGCTGAGAGAGTTGGGGCTGTTCAGCCTGGAGAAGAGAAGGCTCTGGGGTGATCTTATAGCAGCTTTCCAGTACCTAAAGGGGGCCTACAAGAAAGCTGGAGAGGGACTTTTTACAAGGACGTGTGATGATGGGACAAGGGGCAATGGATTTAAACTGAAAGAGGGGAGATTGAGACTGGATATAAGGAAGAAATTTTTCACTGAGAGGGTGGTGAGGTACTGAAACAGGTTGCCCAGAGAAGTTGTAAATGCCCCATCCCTGGAAGTGTTCAAGGCCAGGTTGGATGAGGCTTTGGGCAACCTGGTGTAGTGGAGGGTGTCCCTCCCCATGGCAGGGGGGTTGGAACTAGATGATCTTTGAGGTCCCTTCCAACCCAAACCATTCTATGATTCTATAAAAAGTGGGCATTTCATCTTTTACAGGTGAAAAACACTTGTAATTTCTTGAACAACAGCATATCGCTCTGTATTTCTGCTCAGTCATGTATTCCATCTCCTGCATGCAGTATTTTATGTTAGACTGAATTTTCAGAGTAAACAGTGACTTTGAGTACCCAGCTTAACCTCTTTCAAAAGGTGCTAGTTTATAGAAAGTGCAGGCAGTCTTCTTTTTAAGGTGGCTCATGTTAGTCACCTCAAACCATTAGTCACCTCAGAAAATTTTGACCTGAAATGTTATCTTGATTTCATATTAAGTAAATGCCTTTTGACCATTCCTTCTGAAAAGAAGCTTGGCCTGAAATGTATACCTCTTAGTTACACTACTACATAAACATGTTGAAACAGATGTAACTAATAAATTGTTTATTAAATATATTGGAATCAATACAGAGATAAGGAATTACCTAATATAAAATACAGCTAAAGAAATTCCTTCCCTCCCTTGCTTGTTTTTTTCTTCTAAAGTCAGACTTTTCAGCCTGCTGCTTAATCTATCTGAAAATTGTAATCATGGCTTTAAAACAATTTGTAGATACTTGGAATGTTTTCAGAGCACATCTCGTTCTTATTATGAAAGACTTGAAATGTTAGGAACAGACTAAAATCTTTACAGACTGCATACTACACACAAAGATAATTTGTAGCAGGTGTCTTACATTTTCACAATACAGTAATTTTATAGATGATTAGCTGTCGGCACGTTTCCTCTTTGTCCAGAAGCGTGTCAAGAGTTCACATTGGAGTTATAGGGAAGAGAATGAGAAATGAAACAAGTAAGAATTCTCCAAGGGAGTAATTATTGCAGCTGTTTAGTTTCTGTCATCTTTGCTATTACAGCATCTTCCAGCACACAGGGCTGTCATATCTGAAACATGTTAATTTGCCATCCGTAATTAGCAGTGTGAGGAATTTGAAGATGATAACTGAGTAACAAGTAAAGGCTCTGTAAACAGAAAATTCAGGGTATTTTTCTTTTCTTCAAATCATTAAGGAAAAAAAACTGTTAGAGGATGAGGAATAGTTTCGCTACATCTCCTATTAACAAGCATATACATTGTAACTTACAAAGAAGACAGGATATAATGTGCATTTTCATGGATGCTCTTGTCTTAACCATATATGTGAATTGGTAAGTAACTCAATGCTGTGTGTGTGTGACCACAGAGTTTTGTGCCAATGCTGACTTCGTAGAGGTTCTCCTTACTTCACTCGATTACTCTATAGGCTCTACCCTATAGTGTTCTCTGTACCTTCAGATCTGCTTGTATTTCATTAGTGTAAAGCCAATCCCTGGGTCCTTATTTATACCACTGTATATCTGGAGTAATTCCACTGGTTTCAGTGATGGTATGCCACATCTAAATCAGCAGATTTTTGTAATTTTTTATTAAAATTATTGTGAAAGCATTGATGATAATGAATAGCAAAAAATATCAAGAAAACTATGTTTCCTTTTGTGTTGGAATATTAAATGAACCTTTGTTTTATCTTTTTTATCTTAATGCTGTTTCTTTTTCCTCTTATACAGGAAGGGACACCAATGTGTTAGTTTATATTAAGAGGAGGCTGGCAATGTGTGCAAGAAAGCTGGGAAGGACCAGGGAAGCAGTGAAAATGATGAGAGATGTGAGTTTGGATTTGTTTCGCATGTGATACTTAGATGATAGTAGCATAGAAATGACACGCGTTTGGTTGCAAGTTGGCATCCATCCCCGCTGCGGGTGGCACTGGTGGTAGTCATTTTGTACGTCTAATGTACATGAAGATGAAGTTAAGAGGTCGTTTATAAGGTCGCAAAAGCAACACTAGGAAGTCTTAAAATACCAGATGGACAGTTGCCCATACAGACTGAATTTCCCATCCCGGTACACATACAATGGAGTGCAGTCTTTAATTACTTGATGATGAAGTTACGTAACATTTGTTTTGACGTATGTAATGAATGCCGCTAACTTAGTAAACAGCTCTTAAGTATTCTGTTGCCTCCTTGCAAAGCTGCAGTTTGGCTCTGTGCATTGTTTATGTCACACTTCAGACCCGAGGACAGTGTAATTTATTCATGCAAAACCTATTACTGAGAAGTCAAAACCAAGTAATTAATCTGTAATGACCTGATTTCCCTCTGAGATGGAGAACAATCATACCCCTGGTTTGTAGGCAGGGGAACTACCAATAGTAGTCATAAATCAGTACAAAAGCTACAGATTTGAAATACCGAACAGCAGGTGTTTTGGGGATGACAGGAGGGGCAGCTCTCCACATAAGGCACTGTGTGTGTTTCAGGTATGTAAAATGCTCAAGTTTAGAGATAGCTGCGAATGCCCAGCCTTTCTTCAAGTGAGATCCTCTGGATGCAGTTTAGGAGCACAACTCTTTGAGGTGTGACTTGCCTCACCCGAGGTAGCAAGTCTGTGACAGGAGGAGGAATGGAGCCCTAGAGCTCAGTGCAGGTGATGGTAAAACTGCTTACCAGTTTCCTGTGTTCTCCTTTCTTACACTTCATTTTCCAGCTTCCACAAAAGTGAGATAGAGATGAATCTGGCAAGATACCGAGTTCTGTAAGTTAAGCTGAAGGACCTAAGTTTTAAATGCACAAAATGGAATCCCAGACCAGAACGAAGCACTGTAAAGTACACTTTAGGCAGCTCAGATGAATAGTCTCGAAACCTGCGTAGTGCAAAGGGAAATTCTCGCTGCAATTCAGTGGGAATTTTAACATAAAAGGGCAAGGAACTTTGTTTGGAGCTTAGGCACTTGCATCAATGGCAGTAGGACAAGTACGTCTGCCAGCTTGGAATCCAGCACCCAGCATCTTCTCCTGGAACTGGGGCACTCGTGAATGTTTTTTGAAAACATTGAGCAGAGTTCATTGTCATAATGCAGACCTTCATCCTAAATAATCTACCAGATGTCAAGTGGTGAGTAACTTTTGTTTCCTGTCTCTGGCTGGGGTTCTTCAAACGCACAACTCTCACTCCTCAAACTCACTAGGCTCCCAGGCAGAGGTGTTGAAAAGAACTTGTCAAAACCCCAGCCATTGTGCAGCTAGGGTTGTGAGAAAGAGGAACAATGAAGAAGGACCTGGTTTTGCAGTCTCGTGGTCAACTGGGAGAACACTGATTTCAAAAATCTTGTTTACAGTCCGGTCAGCTCCACCGATTCTTCGTTAATTTTGTTACACAGGCACTCTGGGACAAATACTGAAATGTTTGTGGACAAACATTGGAATTCTAAGTTCTGGCATTAGTATACAAGAAAGATAAAATTTTGAATTTCACATTCAAATGTCACACATCATAATTATGGCAACTTCTGGAGCTTACTATGGGCTGCTGAATGTGTTTTGAGATTTGTAGATAGGGCTACATGGAACAGATAGATGCTCTGTGAAGCCTGCTTCTGCTGAAGTCAGTATGTATGGGTAATTGTGTATGCAGAGCACTGGATTCAGGGACTCTGGTGGTCTATGTAGTCCTAGCTTTCTTACGCAAAGTGAGACCCAGAATGCTTTGATTACAGTGAATGACTTACTCTGTCACCAGAGAGAAAATTATGTGTTGTTAAGTACAATGTGGATCTTGAAAAGCAACAATGACAGGGGATGGAAAGTCATTGTTTGTTAGGCACTTGAGGGACGAAAAACACTCTCCTCAATGGGAACATTTTGCTAAAATGGAAGGACTGGATGCAAGACAAAGGAGGTATAAAGATAGAATTTCAGCTTCTAGAGCTTCAACTCAGATCAATGCATTCTGTCTTCTTCCACATACAGACACTGAGCCAAATCCTCAGTACTGAATTTAGATGCCTCTAGAGCTCTTTGTTGTGAGCAAGCAGAGCTGAGGATTAACAGGTCTCTAGGTGAAATATAAAAACACCAGTATCTCTAGGTCTGTACAACTCCAGTACACTGGGAGCAAGAGTAGGGTCAGGCCAGCTTTGCAGATGCTTTTCTTAGTCTGACTTGGAGCTACTTATTTCTGATGAATGCATATCCTCCATTTCTTTATGGAAGGCATAAATAATATGAAGAGGTTTGAAGAACATGAATGTGTCATTGAAGATTTCTGTGTGATTGATGAGGAAGGAGATGAATTTATTCACCCTAAAAAGAATATGAAGAATATGTTGGCTGGGGACTGCTGAATCTAGCATCAGGGGACAGAGGGCGGAGGCCCTGTTTGTGTTTGAAAGATTGAAAACAGATTTCTCAAGACATAGAACATGATGGAAATGAAGTGTTAAGAGGTTCATGACACCATCTGGGAAATATGATTGGGATGTAGTGAGTCTTTGCCACTTTGAAAAAATAAAATATTTGAGAGTGTTTAATTCATTTCATATATGAGGCCATCTTGAGGACATTACTGATGGATTAGATTGTCTTACTTGAATTTTATGTAAGAAAAGACTGAGATTCTGCTTAAATCACCTTAATGGATAGAAGTTGGGTTGTTGGTGACTTAAGTAAGATTTTGATTTTTATGGTTATATGCACTGCTGATAGAAAAATCATATTCTTTAATATTATATTGAAGATATTGAAAACAATTTTTATTAAAACTCTTTAAAAACAGGGGAGGTTTAATTAAAAAAAAAATAAGTAGGAATTTCTGTTGCTTCCGTGATTGATTTTGAGACAGTATTTTGTTGGTGGTGTTGCTGCTTGGATGTCATTCATTTAGTTGAGTTGAATTACTGAGCATTATGAACCTGTATTTTTCATGGAAGCATGTAATTGAATCATAGGTGTTGCTTTGGCTTGTATTTCTGATGATAATTATTTACTATATTTTGCTATAGAAACCAGCAGCTGTCACTATTTGTATATATTGAGTTAACTTGTGATCTCATTTTGATTAGTGTATTGTTGGAATAACGCCAGTTTAGTCAACAGAGTAGTTCCAGTTTTATTTCTGCTTATACAGAGCATGATATGGTCTGTGAGTGAACTAGATCTCTTTTACTGTCCCCGAGGAGAAAGCCTACAGTGCTGGTTGTTTTATTTGTTGTACTGATTATGTTAGGAGGATTTTAACTAGTGTGTTCTAAATAATGTTGGAAAATCTAGTATGTGCAGAGGTGAAAAGCCTTAATGGTGGCTGTGGGGAGTCTTTGGTGTCCCTTCATGTTGAATCCTTATTGTGGACAATGTTGCAAGCCTGGTAGCTACGTGCTGATGAGCAAGGGTAGCCTTTTGTACCAGCTGCTCTCTGTCTGCTCTTCGCCGATTTCCTTACTGTTACAGTGGAAGAAAACAGAAACGTGCTGGGTTTGTATTTCATGTTTTTCATTGATTAAAAACAGAGAGGGTGCAGGGAGTATGCAAAGGCACTTCTCTCTCTACTTTGCGGGCAACTGGATCAGTGACTGTCTGCACTACCGCATTCAGGAGCAGACCGACACGGTATTCCCCTTGACTGGGTCACTGGAGTGAGTATCCAGAAGAAAACGTACTGTGCAAGAAAGTGAATTGTCAGACTAACTTGAGCATCTTGGGATTGTTCTGGAGAACATTTGAACTGTGGAGCAAGCTTTCATTGAAGAGTGATGTACGTTTAGGAAAGAGAAGGGTGGTGGGCAGAAGGCATGCTAGTGGACAAAGTGAACAGAAGCTCTTAAATGCTGCCTCTTTCAGAGAGAAGATGAAAGAAACTCATTCTAGAGTGTCTTTATCTCCTACCCCATGGCCTTCCACTCCCCTGAAGACGACTTCGTAGTCTGAACACGCTTGTGTTTCTGAGACACAGTGGCATTGCAACTTGCCCCATGTTTTGCAGCTTTGTGTAGAAACGGGTGAGGTTTAGGGAGAGAAGAGACTTTCCAGGTCTTTCCGCAGCTCTGGAGAAGGATAGAAACCAAACCACTTTTTAAGGATCAGAAGCGTGCGTTTTATTTCTGGGATCAGTCATACCTGCTGAGAAATTCCTCATCCGATCGTAGCAGAGGACCTAGAAGTCTACTTCTATGTACCTAGCTCTGAGAACCTTGCTGAGGATATTTCAGTTGGATGTGTTTATGTGTTCATCTCTGTGCCCACCTGCAGTGTCTAAATGCATATTTTATGCCACAGGAGACACTGAGGAATGATCAGTTCCTTAGCAGCTTGTATTGTTAGAGTGCTGCGTGCTTATCAACGGGCTGCATGGTAAGTTGTGCCAACACTCAGGCTGCCTGAGCATTTAAAACAGTTTAAGAGGTTATGTCACTTGAAGGCTTCAAAAGGGTACTCAACTGTACTAAATCAGTTTTAATGGTATGGGTAGATTGCGTTTTTATCTTTTTATGACCAGTGGTATAAGCGATTTTTGCTGGTATAATGGTTCTGCAAATCTAGAATACTTTCCTGGCAACCTCTTTTGGTGGGCTTTGAATTAGGTTTTCTGTTCAATATTTTCTTGAATTCTGTATCCTCGTGTGCATTGCTGATTTGCTCTTGAATAATGGGAATACGTAGCTGGGACAGTGTTCTGCACCTTGAATTATCAAGCTGCATGAAACAAAGAGACTACTAATTGCTAATAAAGATGTTATGATCCCTAGCAACTTAACTACACAACTTCTGCAGCTACTTGCATCGGGTGGCTACTGTCTGTCTCTCCCAAATACTTCTGTGCTTGAGGCAA